CTGCTGCTCTATCCACTTTTCAAATAAGTCGGGGGTCATGTCCTCATGATAGTCGGCACATGATTCTTTGATATTTTTGGCAGATAACAGCAAGGCATTAGGTATAAATCAATTTTCACTGCCAGTATGGAGAATAATGATTCGTTTTCCACGGTTGCATGGTGCATTTAAAATGCACTTGTTGCTGTCGTCAACCCAGCCGTACTGCACAACATCATGGGTATCATACCACGTTTCATCCAGGTAAATCAGATTTCTTTTCTGCTCTCTATAGATTTTAACTTTGTGCAAAAATTCTTGGCGCAATTCAACGATTCGAGACGACTCCATAATCATCATTCTTTTATCTAATTTTTTGTATTGAAAACCACACAGTTTTACAATACAGTGCAGTGAGTCTAAGCATTTGTAATTATAAAAATCTTCAGGATAATCTTTTAATTTATCCCGTATCATTTCCAACGTGGGCACCAAATTTTCTTTATAAAATCCGTATATTATACGACGAATATCTTCCTGAAAACCCACGTCTATTCTTTTTAATTTTTGCCCTATGCGCTTTCTGTGGAAGGAATGGTTGACTACATCTCCCCTTTTTATAACCCGATAAATGGTAGACCGACTGATTTTTGTCAGGATACAAATTCTGTTTAAAGTTTGATTTTGCGAGGAATCTGGATTTTCGTTTTTCAGACAATCATACATATTTAGGATTACTCTTTGGGTCTGTTCCTCTAAATCTTTATGAAAGAATTCTGCCTGCACAGGTTCATCAACCATCTCGTCGTGGCTTGGAGCATTTTCCCAAGGTCTCCAAAGAGCCATATTTAGGACACACAAGAACAATCAACACAACAATTAAATCAACAAGTAAACTGAGTATTCAAAAGTCAAAAACACACAAACTAATAAAATCTATGAAAATACACGGACAGACTAAAGAAAACACGTTTATTCACCGCTACACGGCACTGGCTAAACTGTTTCAATTTTCAGTAGCCACCTGCACTTGTTCGGAGCTCTGAAATACACGCTTTCTCATTGGCTATGTCCACGCATAGGCGTGCTTTACTCCACGTGGACCGGTGAAACTGCCTTTGGCTTTGGATATTTGCTGCGAAATTTGGCGATTTTTGCAGCAACAGAGCGTGTTAAATATAGATATATAAAACGCACCCGGTATTTCACAGTGTTTCAAGTGACTTCAGATACAGTATACATAAAGTGAGGTACACATAAGACTACTACAAGCAATGTGAATCCTGAAATCATGTTTCGTACATTAGGTTTACAATTTGAGGGACAAAGATTCGGAGATAAGAAAATCGAAAAAGCAAGCAAAATAAATTCATTCATGGAAATACTGTTTCGTGGTGCTTTATCGAAAAAATAAGTGATATACTCCAAAAAGACACCCTCGTATAATATTATTGTATTTCATTCGCATTTGACAGCCCTGCTAGATGCCGTCGATTCTGGCGGTATAGTGGAAAGTAGGTCGACCCTGTAGTTCCCATACAATTCTCGACATATGGACTTTGAATATGAATGCATCTTTATTATTTGCTTGCTTCGCTTGCTGCCAGTGAAGAAAGTATTGTAGATTTGTAAAAAATTGAAATTGAGGAATTTGAATATGCATGGTATAGAGTACGAGCCAGCTTTCTTAGGCCCGTATCGTCAGTCGTCCCTACAATTGTAGGGCGCGTTTATGGCCTCCTTGATTGTCTTTCCTTCAAAAATTTCTAAAGTACAGTTGTCCCGTGTCAGCGTCAGTGCTCTCCTGTTGTGAAGATATGTTTTCTTTTTAAATTGTAGGAAATTTCAGGCTGATAAAACATGATGTAACTCAAAAGCAAGCACAATTTGATGCAAATAGTTGTTTGTGACATAACCTCAAAGTAGAGCGCTGACACGGGGAAGTAGAAAACTATGACAATCAAGGAGGCCATAAAGGCGCCCTACAATTGCAGGGACGACTGACGATACGGGCCTTAGGTTTTGATATCTTTAGTATTGGCGAGCTATGGAAATTGATGATAAAAGTTAATGAATATAATTCTTTCGTGCGCCCTCCTATATTGTTACTGCTCGACGGCTAAAAGACGCTTCCTTATACGTCCGTATAACGACGTGCGCTATTGTGTTTGCTTGGAAAATAGGTAAAAATAGATGAGATAATGGATTCTTTGAATTGTCTTCATATTTGCAGGAGACTGGTGAATGTTGTTTACTGATTATTCAACACCTGAATAACATCTAGAATTTGAATATCGCATGTCAATTTATTTTATATTTTGCCACCCGTCAAAGCAGTACCAGCGATCGAGTAAGCTGTCCAGAAGTTTAAGATCACTGACAGTTGAAAAGCAGAGGTTTTTGAGCGAATTGCACCCGTATTACGTAACTTAAAAAGTGACGTTTTATCGATTTTTAAGGTTTTTCCGAAGAAAATTTCACCTTGGAACTAGCTATCATTCACTTCACGTTCGCTTGTAGTCGGTGAGCGTGTTGGAGACCATTTATAACCCCTATGGCTTATGCTGTACGTTTAATAGTATAGCTACAGTGCATGTGATGGTTATTGTTGATGATGATTCCGTTAGTTTCTTGTCTCATATACACTTACGAGCATTTGAGATCTATGCAAAACTACAAATTAGTTTCGCATAGATCGCATTTATCCTGGATATTACATATGCAAATTTGCTGAATTTCAATAAAGTGAGAAATGAAAAAAGAAAATCCCTCGTTGGTGAAGGATATTACAACTAACAGATGAGAAAATAGGCTATAGACAAATTATCTAAAGTATAGTGAGGTGCATCTTACGATATTCTAGTGAGAATTTGATTAATCAAGAGTGTTATATTTGGAAAGACAGAAATACCGGCATAACTGTCATGTGGACATAACCGCAAAATGTAACAACTGACAAAAGTGACTTTTCCATATTTATGTTTCTGGCGTGGCCAATATGCGCATCCAGATGCGATCTTAATATTTGACAATATTTTCTTCATCACATCTTGTTCAGTTTCTCGGCAGCTAGCAACACACAAAGCATTCGGGCCAAATGAGTAGTTGTGCCATTCCTCCATAGATGGCGCTCATAGCGAGCAGGTGCGGAATCGGCTAGCGACTACTAAGTACACAAGTTGACACTATACCGATCTTTAATCACATTGTATCGATTTTTACTTACCACGCCTACTGTAGAATTTTCGAAAATGAGATATGTTTCTTGGATGTTATACATGTCAGTCATTTTCGTGGGTCCCTGTCTGTCTGTTTGTCGATATGTCCGCTAATTTTATAACCGCCTAGAACTTAACAAGTACCGCTTGGATTTCTATGAGATTTTTCACAATATTACAACTAAAACGAAAGAGTGAACATCGCTCAAACCTGGTTTTTGACGATTCAGAAGATCATTTTTGTAAAAAAATACAAACGGATCGGGTACTTACCGGCCGCGGCTGCTGCTACCGGCAGCACGCTGCCGGCATTGATGACTTCTGTTGTTCAGGTATGTTGTTATACCAGTTTTAGTCTAAGTCACAATTTTTCTTCATTTTCTTTTACGATTTTTCTGGTTCTTCAAGCTTTGGTTCAGTTCTTTGATCCGGACGAACATGCTTGACCTGAAAAATAGTTTCTTAGCTTTTTCAGGGCAGTCAACAGAAGTTCGCCTAGAAAATTTTGCTTTTCTGTCACTATTCCGCCCCCATTGAATGTAGTAAACACCTTATTAAGCTTCTCAATTTGATTCGTGAAAGCTGTGGAAGGTTTTGATAATCCACTCTCACTAAGATGGTCTATGCAGGAATAAGTTTCATTTAAGGAACTTTTCAACCTCTCATCCTGCAATTTATGACAAACAAAGCCGGCCAAATTTTTCAGCCCTTCATACTCGAGCTCATCCATTTCTTCCACTAAAACTTCCTCGATATAGTCAGCTGATACTTCAGGTGCATTCAGTTTATTCGTTAATGATGCGGTTAGTGGAATGTCCGGAGTATCATCTTCCTCTACGCTGCAATACTCTGAGTATGCGCCTTCGTTTCGCCCCAAAATATATGACCACCTTATTCTATACTTAAACTCTACTACTTGGAATGGCATCATCTTTTAGAGCACGATCACCAACAAATCGCACTATATAGTATTAACCACGATACACGTGCACTGCAGTAACGTTACGACAATCCTGCCACTGGTAACCACGAGCCGACAACTCTCTGGGTGACGTCACGAAGCTCCGCCCACATGCGTAACCTCCTATCTTCAGTGTATGTGTATCGTGGTGTTATACGCTAAGCCCTGACCGCGCTGCCACGTTTGACCGGCTTAAGGCGACGTTGCCAGAATCACTTCCGGTGGCAGGGAAAGAATGTGTATGGATTAATTGTACGGACTGTTTGACTGAACATTTTCTCTCATAGGATCCAGTTTATGCTTAACATAGTGCTTTAAGAACTGATAATAACGGTGCGTGGGAATTGCATACTCACCTGCTTGGCGCCATCTTTTACGTAATACTCGTACCGATCACTAAACCAACCCGAGTAAGTTTCCGAAATAGTGGTAGAGAGAAACATCGATAAGGCCAAACTTGGGAACATCCTACGCTGCTGTAACCTGAATTTCATCAAGCGGCCATCTTGCTTTCGATTTTGGCAATTCCTTAACCTGATTACTCCTTGTTACTCCATATTTATGAGGCACATATTTCCCTCAACGGCAAAGCGTACAAAAACGTGTTAGCCGCTTAAAAAAAATACGTCCACGGTGGCGGTGGCGGTGGCGGCGAGTCGGTCTCTGGTTGCATGTTAATTTTTCATGCATCTAAAATGACCTTCGCCGCTTGGTCGCAAACGCGATAATGTAACGCAATAAGCGCTCAGCGTACGCCCGCTCGGCTTCTCTCCGTGTTCCACGAAACGATTTATTATTCCTGTTATTTCGTGACACAAAAAAATATATAATGCATGTTTCAGATACGCGAGTTCAAGGTATAACACGAACCGCCATGTTGCTAATATGAGAAGCATGCCGTTCGAAGCTTTGCAAGTTTTCAGTATCATTCGCTCCTCCAGAAGAGAACCTGGTTAGCATTTTCGTTCGATGTCGCAGGAGGTTAGGGTTCTGCGCTCTACTATGGCCTTTTTCGCGAATTTTCATTAGGTTTTGACGTCTACTCAGGTAAACAGCTGATCAGGTCCTGGGGACACTAGAAGCAGGCTGGAGGGTCTCGAGCCAGAGCGAAATGGCAGAGCGGGTAAGGGGAGTTACTCAGGATTTTTTTAAGTTCGTTTCGGCATTTAGGGGCCCCCATCAAGCCAGTGCCCTGGGCACGGCCCCGTGCGCCCTTACAGTAAAGACGGAAAATGCCACTTACGCTTTCAACTAAATACATTTCAATGGCTATCTTGTGGTGTCAATGTTACCTCCCCTCTTACTGCGTCAGTGGCGGATTTAGAGGGGGGCGCGTCCCCGTCTGACACTTGCTTTTGTAACCGACATTGTGTTGCTTTCTGACACATCATGGCGACAGATGCATACTAACTATCAGTTATAGCTATAGGAACTGAGCATTGCGATTTTTGGTATCCTTTGGTATTCCAAACGCTGTCCCTCTTCAACATCACTTACGTTTACAGCACAATTCTTACGATTTATAACGTATATACGAGTATTGTGACTTGTGACAAATCTAAGTCTAAGCAATATATTAGCTATACAGATTGCACTTAAAAAGTGATTTATGTTCTGTTTGTTGCTCAATAGTAATTTGAAAAGTGTTGAAAGTTTGACTGATTTTGTGCGGGGTTTTATTGCTGCAAGTTGCTCAAGGGGGTATTCAAAACATGGACGCATAAAATGGGTACACCAGTTTTTGTGGGAAAACTTTTTATTCGACAACAAAGAATAAGAAAACGTGTTTTTTGGGATTCGATCTAAATAATTGGCAGACGAAAAAACTCTCCATATAAGATTTTTAAGTATTTATGAGACCTACAAAACGAGACCACACGTAAAGAGATTCCACTAATATCAAGAAAGTTATCGCCGAAAACCGAGGCAAACTGCAGGTCTCGGCATGGGTTGGTAATGAGATATTTGAAATTCTTTAAATTCGTAGGATTGGTACTTCTAAATAACCACAACAAAACTGGAGTAGATTGGTCAAGTAGTTTGTGAGAATTTATAATTGTTTATCCCGAGACATCTGTTTTCCGTCCATCACTACTGGTTTTTTTGAGCAATATACAGATAGAACAATGGATTCAAGGAGCAATAATAGGATAAATTCTAGAAGTTCCACTGACGCAGAAAAATTACCAGCTCCAAAGATCGTTTGCGCCCTTCCCCCGTAGACGAAATTCTGGATCCGCCCTTGGACTGCGTAGGATGTGGGCCGCGCAGGCAGAAGCCTAAATGCCAGGGCATCGCGGATGCTATGAGGAGCTTAAAAAAACTTTTTGTACTGCGTAAAATTATTAGATCTGGTAAAAGGTTCCTCATGTAATTGTTCCTACATCTTGCTACCCTAGGGACAAAGGAGCGGCCATATCGGCCAGTTCTGGATGTGGAAAGTTCGGCACTGTTAGTTATGATGGCCGAAGTCAGACGGATTCTGTGTAGCGGTGGAAGAGAGCTAGGTCGCCGACTGCCCGCCGCGCCGCGCCGGTGGGAAAGGGTCCCAAGATTGTCCGTTAGAAAATGTAGTCGGGCTGGCACCACCCCAAGCATGTGAGCAGTTCTCAAGGCTAGATCTGATCAGTGCCTGGTATCGAGTGAGAAGGCCATGTGGATAAAAGTACTTCTCACCCCTAAACAAATAGCCTACTCGTAGATGTTTCCCAGCTATTGACAAGATGTGTTCATGCCATTCATCGGTGATATCGACTCCGACCAGTATTAAACTGTACGAGATTGTTGCGTCCCCAAGCAGTGATAACCTCCAGGTCTATCGTCAGAGAGAAAGTCGCTGCTAGTCTTCCTTTTTCCAGTGCGCCGGCAGAGATCGGCTTGTTGCTGAGAAAAGCTGTGGATTGGATGGATCGTACAGGAAAGGAGATCGTTGATATGTAAGGGGAACAGTGTCGGAGCCAAGACCAGTCCCTGAGGAACATCCGCGTTGACGTTGTGGGATGAAGAGCAGAACATTACGACTAATGTCCTGCAGCCCGAGAGAAAGTCAGGTATCCATCTGCAAAGCTTGATCCTTACTAGAAGAGTGGATGAGTTAACCTCACAGTTGCAAGGCGTACACTAGGATCGCTGGTGCCGGAAACCATACTGCCTGTCGGTAATCAAGCCGTGACATCATTGATAATACGGAATCTTAAAAATCTTGACGAAGGAGGTTAGCGAATGATGATGGAAAATTTTGTCATATTTAAGAATATATTCTATTTTTCTTTCGAAAATATAATCTGCGTTGCTTCTGAGTGAATTACTGCGATTGTGACGATGAAAATTATACAGGGTGACTTTGAAGTTGAGTCATTAATTTTCAGATAATGATTGTAGAAGGAAGATAAACCAAAATATGTGTGTAAAAATAAAAAAAAATTAAAAAAAAATGTTACCTTGTTTTATAAAGTATCCTCCCGACAAGTATTTCAGTGCGGACCTGTATTTGATCGTGAGGTCTTGGAGCACCGGCATGCCGTCCCCTGTGAGGTCTTAAGTCGCCTGATTCACGAGCCCGTTGTACTACATTAACAAAGTCACGAGGGGTTGGTTGCACTCGATTGGGAAACCGATCCGCATAAACATGTGCCATTTTTTATTTCGTTTGAGCCACGCAACAGACACCACTATTCACTCACGCGTTACCGACTGACACTGACTGTATACAACTGAATAAAATAATTGTAAAAACATCGTTCCAAATTCTTTCGCTTTTTTGTTTCCGATGCGATGAACCGATAAGGCGGATTATATCCGTTGTTGCCAAACACGAGCACGTAATATTATTATTGAGACAGGGCGGTACTCAAACTTCCAAAGAGCTATAACTTTGTTACTTTAATTTTACCAGAAAAATGGTAAAGGAAAAAAACATTTCTTTTGATCAGATCTACTCACTGTTAAAATAAATGACTCAACTTCGAAGTCACCCTGTATATGTTACCGATTAAATACAACGTAGGGTTGGAAAATACCTTGATCAATGTTTTAACACCGAACGCTTTTATAAACTTTTAATATATGTACAAGCATGCTTCGTTGTCAAGGTTAAATCTGACAACCCTGTCGGTGGGATGATGTGGATGTATTTATTCCCATACCACCTGTCTGTGAGAGAGAAACGGGTAGTGGTATGGCATTCCTCATACGTGTTATTGTCTACCTCTCCCTTAGCATTGTGCATGCAGTCTGCCCTCATGTTCATGTGTACCCTCTCTTCCTTTTGAATATTCCACGCGCTCTATCACCTGCCCCAACCAGAACACTTTAGTACAGGGACTTTCGATCTTGTTGTATTGGAGGACGAAACTGTACGCTAGTAATCAGCAAGTGATGGTATTTTCTTTCAGTAGATGTCAATCTGTATTACATGTGAAAGATTGTATAAAAGTGGAGTTGGTGGAATGATTTTGCACTTCCTAGGCTTTCATTGCGGCTTCAAAGTTTGAAAAGAAGAACGCCAAAATTTTATTCAAGGCTAAAATGGAGCCGAACTTTGACTAGATATGTTCACTTAAGTTCAATATATCATAACCACTACATCTTGATTTATACATAATAAATGTTTCTGTTTTACTGACAAATGTATAGATAATATGTGGTGTATTGCTGGGATCAGATTTTTTAATAATAGTATCTCTTGATCTGATACCAAAGTTGTAAAGCTTACAACTCACATCCCTCAGTGTTCAACCACATCAAAATTATTTTTGAAAAAACATCTGATGCGCCTAAAAACGATGTTTTCACGTTTTTACTCGTACTTTCGTCCTTGTCATTATAGTAATCTTGTTTCAAACCCTCAAAAAAATCCAAACGGTATTTTCCAAATTATATAACTCCTTTATAGGGATTAGTGAACATACGGAAAGAAATGAGTGACATGATTTTTCGTGATGTACATGTGTCATGTAACATCCAAAAAAATATCATTTTCAAAATATTTCATAAATCATATGTCCTTAAGATTCACCTCGATACTTCGAAATTCTTATAAACAAGCTGTAATCCCAGGTAATATGGTATACAGATACATAGGAAATATCAACACTGTTTCTTAAACTGAGAGGGCGATTTATAATAGTCCTCTCGTCTCGCTCTTAACCAAATTTACCTGTATTATTTTGGTTCGAGTGATTTCTTCCTTTTATCTGCAACAAAGCAGCTGCTTCCGTTGCGAAAGGTGTGTAGGTACTTATACTCATGAAAATGTATCGATATGCTTGCTTATCTCTATAGTAATGGAACTGTAATCTTTGACTGTCGCAGAACGTGTATCCACTACGCTCAAAAGAAGCCGAAAACTCAAAAACAGAGTTTACGTTTCTAGTACATATTCTCCACTACACACATATGGCCTTGGTGATTACGTGCATGTTTCAACTACTATGATGTAAAAATTAAGCACAGAGTAATGTCGCAGAACAACGGCAGTCGGTCATTTTGCACGCTAAACAAATATATTGAAAGCTTTTCACAGAAGTAGCCTTCCACTACTTACGTGCCAGGATGGAACGAGTCTAACCAACTCAAAGGCTAAGGCGGAAGTGCTAGCCATGATATTTGCTGCCAACTCCACCGTGGACGCAAGATAGTAAAAGCAACACTGCACCCTGCAGCCCAGTTGACAAGAATGACAAGCTGTCAAGATTAGGGATATTTAGATCCACGAAAAGTATCGTTATGTATCGATTTTTATCGTTTTAGGATAATCTAAAATATTGGAAATAAATTATCGATATCCAGCGGAAGGAAACAAAGAAGAAAAGTAATATGAAATTAGTTACTCTTTCTGACACAGTCCGGATCGGAACATGACGATACTCGTGAAATGTATCCATACACCCAAGTGTCGTATATAAAAATATTGATCCAAAATATCGGGTATGGGAAGCAAAAGTATCGATA